TTCATAAGAAAAAAAATGCACCTTGTAAATTATATTTAAATAAATTTGTCTTTTTTAAAATTTGATTGATAAATAGTTAATATTTTATATAAATATAATATATAAAAATTTATATATAAATATTTTTACCTAAATAATTACTTTAAGAAAATATAAAATTAGTCATTTAACGTGTGAGAATAACTGCTCCCATTCAACGCACCGTGCATCATACGTCCATTGCATTGAAGATATTTCTTTCTTAAACTCTAGACTTGATAAAATTCAAAATCACATTTGTTTACCATTACATTACATTGAAGATATTCTCATAACAGACCAATCCAGTCCAAAATAATTGGCGTTGACACTAATTGGTCAAACCCCCTCTTAAGCCTTCAGATTCACGCTAAATTGACATTGAGTCTATGAACTAAAAATAGTGCAAAAAAACCCCCTCAACTATCTTGATTGATGTAAATTAGTCCTCAAACCCCCGAAATATAAAATTCAATCCTTATTATTAATTGCTCAATGCATATAACTTTACAGTATTTGTTCTTTTCTTTCCCATAAACCCACTTTTCTACATAAAAATTATCGTGAATCCTTTGGCTGGATTTTTATCATTGAATTTTAATTACTATAGTAAATATGTTTTAATTGATGGAATGACTAAAAAAAATATATTTTTCACAGTTGAGGAATAAAAAAGTGCATAGAAAAGTTAAGAGACAAATTATGTAAAACCCTCAAGTTGAGGGATAGAATTTGCATTTAACCAAAGTAATTTTGGTTAGTGGCAAAATGACATTGCTGGTCCTAACTTTTAGTTTTTGCACACTTTATCCTCATGTAAATTTTTTTCTTTTTTTAAATCTACAAAGATAATATGATTGAAATTACAAAGGTACAAGGGGTACTTTAAAACTATACAATAACAATATTACAACAATTCACACATTTTTTAGCAATCCTACTAAGCAGTCAGTGCAATCAAATCAATATCTACAAGCTCATCCTCAAGATGCAATGACCAATAACTAGAAATTAACATGTGATTGATCTTTGTTATTTGGTCTTAAAAGTTATGATTTCTTTCAATGATAAATTAATATAATATAATAATCAATCAATATTATTAAAGTAAAAAAATAAAGTTAAAATCAATTAGATAAGTGGTAAATACATACAATGGTAAAAAATTAAAAAGGATTTGAATTTTTCAATAAAATTCAAATTCACTAATGTTTTAATACAAAAAACTATATTCAATAGTATTTTAATCCACTAGCATTTTGTACTCTAATCACTATATATTAGTTTCAAATCACTAAATAAAATTTTTTATCAAATATTTAGTTTGTAGCGGATTCAAAATAACCAAATTTACCAAACACTTATTGTATAGCAATTTGGGTAAAATCACTAATTGCAACCCCTAAATCACTATATCCAATAGACCCTTAGTATGTGAAGTTTATCTATAAATGCACATTTTTAGTCTATAAACTCTTAAGTTGAGGGATAAAAAATGT